CTAAACTTTACAATGTTTCTAATCCAGGAATAAGTCAAATTATGAAAAGATTTCATCTGAGAAAAACTATTGAAAGCAAAGTTTGCTCTGGAAGACCTAAATGTTCTTTTTTCTGATGAATCAAAGTTTATGCTATTCAGTAGTGACGAAATTAGATATGTTTGGCACTTATTAGAACACAGATTTAATCCAACCTATAAGTTACCCATATGTTAAACATAAAGAAAATTTTATGGTTTGGAGATGTTCTAATCATGACTATGTGGTCCCATTCATCACATAGATGGTTTTATTGACCAGAGAGTTTATGTAGACAACATAAAGAATGTTATGCTGCCAAATCCAAGCAAAAAATGACTTGCATATAAATATTACAACAAGATAATGATCCAAAGCATTGTGCCAGATCTGTTAAGGAATATTTGAAATCACAAAAAATCAAAGTTCTTGAATGGCCTTCACAGAGCCTAGATCTCAATCCTATTCAGCATCTATGGGAGTAGGAACAACCGGCAATTAGTTGGTAGAAAAACAACCAACAAAGACCATTTACTTACATTGATTAAAGAATGTTGCTTTAAAATTCTTCAGGATGTTCTCTTTAATATAGTACATTCAATGCTTTGTCGCTGTGATGCTGTTTTAAAGGGAAATAGATATGCCACCAAATACTAAGCGTTTTGTTAAAACTATTTTATTATTAAAAAATTATTTTGTGAATTTTAGCAAAATTTTTAGCTTTTTTGAAATGAATATTAATCAAATTCAGTTGTTTAAAAACTTTTGCACTAAAAGTGAATTATCCGTTTAATTTTACAACTTTTGTGGTTTTTATTTTAAATTGAAATAATATGGAGGGCATTTGGTTAAATTTCAGCTTATTTAAGAATGTTTGTAAAGGGTTTTGCAGTAAAAACTGAAAAAAAATTGGTGTTTCTAAACTTTTGTACGCTGCTGTAGATTAACCAAAACATAGGATTTTATTATGGATATCTTCTCTATCCAGTTCTCGAGGTACTCCATCTCCAACTTACTATTATATAATTTTGGGATAGGTTACCTCTAAACTTGTTCCAGACAAAGGTTTTAATCTTTGTTTCAATTGCAAGAGTATTCTTTTGAGTTTTATATGACTTAAGCAATCTGTGTGAGACAAACAGCACATATTTTATATAAACAGCCTGAAATCATTTACACAAATATCGCAGATTTTCAACAGTTTGGATATCTTCTCTATCCAGTGCTTCATATTGTTCTTATAATTATATAGTTTTAGGATAATTGGTTACCTCTAAACTTTACTTGTTCCAGACAAAGATTTTAATCATTGTTTCATTTGTAGGAGTATTCTTTTGAGTTTTAGATGACTTTACCAATCTGTGTGAGACAAACAGCACATGTTTTAACAACCTGAAATCGTTTACACAATTTATCAATATCGCAGATTTTTCAACAGTTTTTGTCAAAAATTTTATAAACTTTTTAATGATTTAAAAAACCTAATTTTTAAACAACAATTTTTTGACCTTGTCTAACCTCCTAGAAGTTTAAAATACCATAAATGGTGTTTATTAATGTATATCTCACTATTGGAAAAATGAAATAATTCAATTTAAACCTAATAATTTAGTAGCTAATTTGATAATTTAACTCTTTTTTTTTCAAATTTAGTACTATTTAATACATTTAAAACTTGCTTGAACTGTGACACAAACTGTATGGTTATCTAATTGTTTTCTTAATGTTGAAATAATGTATAATAAAATACATATTTCTAAATGTGGCTATTAACTGGAGTATAGCCTACAATAATAAAGTACTTGGTCTATTATTGTCTTTTTCTTTTTCTCTTAATTTAATACCAACTTTATCTTTAAACTTTATTTTTAGTTATTTTTAGTTGTCTCTTTTAAAATATTTTTTTTTAAATGTCTCTTTTAAAATATTTTTTTTACTTTGAAGAACTTGATCAAACAAAAAAAAATGTTTTGTTAGACAAGATCTTGGTAAAAAAGTAAAAGATGCCGTTGACAGAAAATCGGAGATTTCTGTTCGAATTTTATTGAATAAATTTAAGACAAGTGCTTCCAATATACAAAGAATGAAATGAGAAATTGTCGCTATAAATCTTATAAAAAGAAAAAAGTTTCTCGTCATAAACTAAAGTAAGAAAATGTTGCAATTCGTTGTTCAAAGCTGCTCTATAAAAAATTATGTGCCAAAAAACCTTGTTTGATTATTGACAATGAAACTTACTGTGCTGCATATTTCAGATCTCTTCTGGGACACCAATATTATTCAGTAATTAATCGCAAAAAACTGAATTCCAACTTTGAATGCAAAAATTTGAATGCAAAAATTTGAATGCAAAAAACTGAATTCCAACTTTGAATGCAAAAATTTGCTAAAAAATTCTTAGTTTGGCAAGCAATTTGTGAATGTGGTGAAAGAAGCTCTTGTTTTGTGACGCCAAAATATACATACATGAATGCTTAAACAAACATCTTTTGCTGTTTTTAAGAACACACAGGTAACCTGTTATTTTAGCCCGATTTAGCATCATGTCACTACTCTAAGACAACTTTAAACTGGCTTAGAGAACATAAAGTAGATTTTGTTGAAAAACACTGCAAACCACCAAATTGTCCTGAACTACGTCCTATCAAATAATATTGGGCTATTATCAAAAGAAAATTAAGGTTCAATGTAAAAGAAGGCAAAAACATTGAAGACTTCAAAAATAAATGGATTAAAGCTACCAAGAAAGTCCAGCCAAAGACTGTGCAAAAGCTGATGTCAAGTGTAAAACACAAAGTGTTTTACACTTTGTAAGTGGGCTCTCACGTACAAAACTTCACAAATTTAAGAATATTAATATTCTTACTTTAAAATTATATATATTATATACATTCAATATCGAAATACAATAGTTAACCTTTAAAATTTCCGCGCAGATTTTTTATGTCTTATTACTAAACAACTAAAAAAATAAAAATAGTTTGCTTGATTGTTTAGGAGTTTTGCAATTGGAATGTATAATGTTAAATGATCAACTTTCATCATCTTTTAGGTAAGAATTATAATGATTTTGTAGTTTCTTTCATAATTCTGTAATAGGCACCAGCAATTTTTAACTTTTTTTAGAAAAATCAATTACTTCAAGCGGTAATACTTTATTAGACTATAAAACTATAATGTGCAAAATTTAAAAGTTGCAAGTCTTTCCAATTCTATCTTATTTTAATATAATTTTTTCACATATAATTCATTATGAAACATAAACTAGAGTGAGTTATAATTAATGAATTTTAAAACGAGTGTTGGTGTAAAACATTTTACCACGTATTTTCACATATATAATGAAACGTAAAAAATTAATTTTTTAATTAACATAATTTTTTAGGTATGTTTGGGTCCTGCAAAATTGGGTGGTTTTTACATTAAAGCCACATGATTATATATTATGGAAAACATTTAGAAAAAACATGGTTTTAAATGTTGCAACTTATTTGGGTTATGATAGACAGTAATCAAATAAATTTATAGATTTTTTGTTTTCAAGTTAGAAAAAAAAAAAAAAAACTAATGTTTTTAACTTGAAAACTTAAACTCAATTCAGAAAAAATAAAACAAACGGCTGGAATTAAAAGTTTGAAGTTTAAAAATTGAAGTTTTGTAAATTTTCAGTAACAACAGTAATTTACTTACTTTTAATGATTCTACAAAAAATAGCATCTTTAAAGCAATTTATTTATGTTAATTTTTCAAACTTACTTTTCAAATAAGCTACCTTTATAATAATATATTTAATTTTAGAATTTTTTATTTTTAAATTAACTCTTATTTTCTTATAACCATCTATTCCAGCTTGAAGCAACTTAATACCAAAAATTGCTGGTATCTACTGTATAACTGTATAAATTAACAATGAATTAAATTTGAGTGGTTACAGTTGTTATCATTTAGATCAGTTCAACAATGTTTAATTGATGTAAAAGTCTAACTTACAAAGAGTTGATTTCTAGTTTATTAAATTTCATCACAATTTATTGTAAAAAATTACAACAATCCGTCTATAACAACCATTAAATATAAAAATTATAGAAACCTCACAAACAACACATAAGCATTAAATACTTAAAAAATTATATATATATATATATATATATATATATATATATATATATAATATATAATATATAATATATAATATATAATATATATATACATATATATATATATATAATATATATATATATATATATATATATATATATATATATATATATATATATATATATATATATATATATATATATATATAATATATAATATATAATATATAATATATAATATATAATATATAATATATAATATATATATACATATATATATATATAATATATATATATATATATATATATATATATATATATATATATATATATATATATATATATATATATATATAACGTTCTTTTGTCGCAATAATTTGTTTTGCTTATAATCAACTCATTTATTCTATTTTGTTACAACAAAAAAATTAAAATAAACAGAAAAAAACTTACACTTGTGCACTGTATTGCTGTTTGTATACACTCCATAGTATACAAACAGCACTACAATCAAGTATTTGTGATTGTGTAGAGAGTATTACTTATTTAATACAAATTAGTGATAGTACTGATGCAGTGCACTAATTTGATGTGGATAAATGTTATTGGTGTTGAAATAAAGTAAATGATGATAAGCAAACTATTCTATATAAATAATTTCAAAATGAATAAAACACTTGTTTTATAAAAAAAACTGGAAAATTATTTGTTTTCTCCAAAATTTATCAAATTTGAAAAAAAAACAATTGATGTAGTAGTGATTGCAATCACTACTACATGACATGACATCAACAACATCAACTACATGACATCACATCAACAACATCAACTACATGACGTCACATCAACAACATCAACAACAATTTAGAAAATAAGTAACCATACCATTATATCTACAGTTTATGTGACTTTTAAATTCTTCCTAAAAAAATGCAGAACAAAATATAAAGCATAACAATTTGAAAAAAATAATTAAAACTTTATTCATCATCATCATCATCATCATCATCATCATCATCATCATCATCATCATCATCATCATCATCATCATCATCATCATCATCATCATCATCATCATCATCATCATCATCATCATCATCATCATCATCATCATCATCATCATCATCATCATCATCATCATCATCATCATTATTGACAACTAATTTTTATTAATATATACATACTTCATAATTTAATAATGCTTTAAAATATGCATCTATTTTTTTTTTATCATCTTCATGAAGTATTGTTTCAACTCGTTGATGAAGTAGTTGAGACTAAATTATAAAAAAATAAATAATAAAATAATGCCTTAAAACTAAGCTAATAAAAAAAAGCTAATAACTAAAAAAATTTATAATCTTATTAAACAACTTCTATTAAAACACACTCAAAAGGATTTTTTTTAAACACTTATAGCGTTTTATGATTTTGATTAAATTTTGATTGTGAATATAATGATTGTTGCTGCTTTACATACTTAAAAAATTAAAACTTAATAAAACCTTTTGAGTATTTCTAATGTTAATACATTTTGTTAAAGTACTAATAATTTTTTTTTACAGTTATAGAAGAAACAACTATTTCAATTTTAATTTTATATGAAATATTTTGATATTTACAAATGGTTAAGAGATAACAACATTTCTATCCGAGATACAGCAAAATCATAAAACCATTTGCTAACATTCATTGAGTTGTCCTTTTATCACAACAATAACGATGTTAGGAGATCAACACTTGGGTATATATTATCCCATCTTAAATTACGTAATGGAACAACGCACAGAATCTAAATACGGGTTAAGAACTTAAAGAACAGAATCTAAATATGTGTTAAGGACTAGGCTATATGGCTAGATAAGAAATTAATTTAATTTTAATGCAGCCAAAATAACCATACCTCCTACAAAATCTCTATTTTGTCGTAGGATTGGTCAACTGCCAAAAACTGACACAAGAGTGTTCTACAAGAACTTAATATTGACATATTTGCAAACTTCACAAAAGTCACACATTAAATTAGTATCTGTAAATCTTAAATCTGTATCCTGCCTAAAACAATGTAAAACTATCAAAACCTTTGTGCTATCTTAACAACATTATTTTTACTCACTATACTCCTAGCATTCCACTACAAAGCTCATGTGAACATACAGCAGAAAGATTTAGCTAAGTTTAAAATGATGTTTTATGCACGATGATGAAAAGTGTGACCTACTACATTATAAATGCAGGTTTTAATGACTCTACTGGCCAAGACAATTAGAAAAAGAAAATGTCTGCTAATAATAATCTCCACAACTTGATACAAATTTTATTTTTAACTTGCCCTGTTCCACTTCGGTTACAACTTGTGTTGGAGAAATTTAAACTGTTGGAAAAACCAAACCTTCATCAAATTTATATTGTAGACCTTTGTGATTTTAATTTGAAAACCATACCATTCAAATTACTATAATAGCAAAATTCAAATTACTATGATAGCAAAGTTCATACTGCCTTATCAAACGCAACAAATTTGGTCTATGTTGTTGTATATGTGATTTAGCAGAAGACGTTGACAAATTTAGAAAACTTCCTTGTTTATCTAATGAGCTGGAATGTTGATTATTTACACTTCATGATAAAAAATTTTTGAGTGCCTCATTATTATTTTATACAAAATACCAATCATAAAATGGAGAGCAAGAGGAGGAGTTAAAGATGAAAAAATGAATATATAAAAAATGAATAATGAAAAAATGAATATATAAAAGAGATTCCAATAAAAGATGTGAAGCATCAGGACCTTCAAATGACAGTAATACTGCCTGGAAACCTTTTTGAAATGAAGATGCATTTGCTGAAATTATAGGAATAATCAAAGAATTTATTTTAAAGTTGCACTTAATCTTAATTTGCGGTTATGAAAATAAATATACAAGTGGATATGATATAAATATCAGTGAGTTTCACTTACTTTGCCTGAAAACTGCAAAGCTCTACTTGCACTTGTATTATTAATATTTCATGCCTCAGAATATCTTCACAATTTTAATTCACAAAGCGAAATTAATAAAAATTTATCATTGCCAATACGTCTACTTAGCAAAGAAGCTCAATGAGCTAGAAAGGTTTTAAAAAACATAAGGAACATCTTTTCCATACAAGATCCAATACGAAGACAAATACAGATGTCATGAAAAGACTTTTATGCACATCTGATTCAGTTATTTTATCATATAGAAAAACTGTTTCATATATTAAAAAAAAAAATTTTCCTGGTGTCATTGATATTTTTGTTTGTGAAAATGCTACGTTCTAGAATGTAGATAAATCTATTTCTTTAATTGTAATTTAGTTCAAAACATTTTTAATATTGAAAGGTGTATTCAATAAATATGAGCTTCATATTCATTTTTTATAGTTTGAATAATTAATTTATAACAATTCTAATAAAAACAAAACAAAAAATAAAATAGTTTTGGCACAAAAAACACTTTTCTGTACCACTATGCCACCCTGAGCTATCTAATATTAAGAACTTTCCCAGCCCTTTATTAATTCTTGATAATTTTTTTTTAATTTTTATAGTAAACCAAAAATTAGAAAATATAAACTCACTGAAAAAAAGAAGCAGTATAATTAGGTTTTAAAAATTCTCAACCTATAAGTTCTCATAAATCTTGATTTGGTCAAAAATGTGCATTTGGTTCCACTACCAAATACATTATATATACACTACATCATACATTATATTTATTTACCAAATATTATATCTTTATCTTGGTATAAAACTTATTAAATTCTAATGAAATAATGACAAAACAGCTTAAATCCTAATGAAATAATGACAAAACAAATTAAATCCTAATGAAATAATGACAAAACAAATTAAATCCTAATCAAATAATGACAAAACAAATTAAATCCTAATCAAATAATGACAAAACAAATTAAATCCTAATCAAATAATGACAAAACAAATTAAATCCTAATGAAATAATGACAAAACAAATTAAATCCTAATCAAATAATGACAAAACAAATTAAATCCTAATGAAATAATGACACCTCCTTTCATCAATATAACATCCTGTTATTAAATGTGAAAAAAAAATTCCCACCTATTCTAAGAACATGTCAAAGAAATGTTTACAAGCTTGTCAAAGCATGTCAAAGAAATGTTTACAAGCTTCACTGAAGACACACTGGGAAAACTTATTTCCCTGAAAACTTTATGTTCATAAACTAGCAAGCAAAGTAGAAGACAACGAAGGAGCTCATGAATAAGTTTATTAAGTTTAATAATATTAAGTTAAAGGAGCATGTTGAAAAACAGATTGAAGAAACTGTATGCAAATATGCACTTGCCAATTTAGTTTTTTCAATAAATGATGAACAAAAAAAAGGCAGAATTTATTTCTTTATTTTATACTGCACTATCTCTTGAATGCTCTTTAGCTTCAACTATTTACAGACCTGATCATTTCCTTTAAATGATCAGGTCTGTAAATTATGAAAAAACAAAAAAAAATAAAATTAAAATTTTTGCGGTATCATAAAATATAAATGTTTATAGTGAAAAAAAACAAGACCGAAGATTTTTTTTTAATAAAAAAATCTTAAAATCACAATTGCTTGTCCAAATTTTAATAAGACTTAAAATAAGTACGTTTTTTAGGTGAAATTATAACATTATAGTTTAACAATATGATCTGTTCTGTTTATTTACAATTTTTCTTAATTACAAGCTCTTTCTTGGTCAGAATTCTAGTTTTTTTTATGAAAATTGATAGAAACATTGTGTTTATTTACAATTTTTCTTAATTACAAGCTCTTTCTTGGTCAGAATTCTAGTTTTTTTGTGAAAATTGATAGAAACATTGTGTTTTGACAACTATTTATAGATAATATATGTCAGAACTGATTAGAACTAGGATCAGTAGTAAATAAAGAAACTTTCTCAAAAGATTTTAACAAAATTAACTTTAACGTTGATAAGTGGAATTGATCTAAAGACTCCAAAATTGTGTTCACTGTTACGGGTAGTAAAGAGGTTTTGAAAATTTTATATATAAAAAAAAGTTTCTTTAAATATTAAAAAAACCTGAAGCAAAAAAAATTATATTTAAAGCTCTTGTTTGGACATAAAACTCCGATAAAACCACGCTAATTCCAAATAAAAGAATTCGAATAATTTGTAAATCGCCTTAACTACATTGGGTACAAAGCATAATATAGAAAATAAATATAAATTTACATAAATTTTTCATCAAGAACAAAAACAAAAAATGTTGAACTATAATTTTATAAATTGCTTTTGAAAAAAACATTTTTTCCATTAACTTAACTACCCCTAAACTTTTATTTTAATAAATCTCAGATACTTGAAATTTATCAAAATGAAATTGTAAAAGTAAGATATATCCAGCTTGGTCATTTATTAATTGTAAAAGTAGGAAACATCCAGTTAGGTCATTTATTAATTGTAAAAGTAAGACACATCCTGCTCAGTCATTTATTGATTGTGAAAGTAAGACGCATCCTGCTTGGTTATTTTTTAATGCTGTTATTAAAATTTAAATAAATAAAAAAAGTTAAAATAAAACAGTAAATACAAGTTAGCAAAACTAATTTTCTCAAATTTAATAAAGTGCAGATTTTGAACACTTTTTTGAAAATTTTTGTTTAAAAACAAAATATATATAATTTATAATTTATAGATATAAACATATTAGTGCATATAGATATAAACATATTAGCCTGTTCTAGATTTAAGAAGCTTGATCCAAAAAATATTTAATCAAGAATATATGTTTTTGAAAATATAAAAAATCTTAAATTTTCAATATTTATATAATGAATTATATTATCTTATCAAATAAAAATAAAATATTTATTATTAATATTTACACACCACACTCTTTTAGGATTGTTGATGCCAACAAAAAAGTTTTTTACTCCCCTTATTAAATGTGAAACTTTAAAAGGTTCTGTTTCACAAATGATAGGTATCTCTTAGGTATCTACTGGACCAAAAAAAAAAGAAAACATAAAACCTGGCAAGATGTTTACCACACTGTAAAGTCTGTGCTATTTTATTTAATTAAAAAGAGAACTGGAAAAAACATAACGCCTTTTTCAGTTAACAATGAAAAGTTGTAATGAACTAGATTTGTAGAAATTATCACTTATTTACAAACTTGTATTTTAAATATGAGCTATACATGTGAATGCTGCACAATATGTGACATTTATTGTGCAATGCGCGCATAAAATCTACATTTTTTTTTTTTTTTTTTAATTTTCTAAATATACTATTAGAAACAAGATACTTAATTTTTTGACATTTACAAAAAATCTATATAAGACAATTCACTTACCTGTGAATATCCAATTTTGTCTTTTATACCTTCAGAAACATAAAAAATCATTCCATCTATGCTTGTAACCAAAACAAAAGAATTTAAACCCTAAAAACAATAAAAAATAACAGATAGAATAATTTACAATCATTTTTACATAATTTACAATCACATTTGGCAGCACAAACACAACTATAAAATACAAGAACATGTGGCATGACAAACAAGCTTTTAATTTGCTTATTAAGCAAATTAAAAGCTTAATCATACTTGCATCAAAAACTTGAGGAAAAAAAAAGATATGCTGTTAACTTAATGAAAAAAATATTTTTGCTAACTATAACTTGTATATATACAATTATAGATACACATATACAATAAACAAAATATATACATATACAATTAATAAATATATAGTTAATTCCTGGTAAGTCAAACACCGGTTAACTTGAATTTTTGTTATCTAGAACTGTTCTAAAATTCTCCGGTTAAGTCGAACATCAGATAACTCAAACTTTGTTAAATCGAACCTTTTTATTGTCCCTCTTCGGTAAATTTCTTCGGATAACTTGAACTTTTTGTATGGTTAATAATGAAATCAAAATAACTTGATTAAAATTTTTTTTTAAGAAGTCATTCCATATAATACAGGGTTATTCCATATCAAATCACCTAGTTTTTTGAAAGTTCCCCAGGGTACCATCTCAGATTTGCTTTAAACTCTGACCACACAAAAAAATACAATCTAGAAAATTTCAGCTTGATTGACCAATTTGTTCAAAAGTTATGATTGAATTAAAAATTACCAAAATCCGAAAAATTTGTGTATCAGGAGCTTACAGCAGTTTTTTTTTAATTTTTGACGAATCATAACTTTTTAAATAAAGATGGTGATCACCTGAAATTTTGTAGGGTAATAGTTTTTTTCATACTTACTTACAGAAAGTGGATTTTTTTTGTTACCTTTTTGTACTTAGGGTCACCACTTGTTAGAATAATCAAAATTATGCACTAAAAATTAATTTAGGACATGCAGCAGCCTATTAAAAAATCCCTTTTTTTTTAAATTATGATAAACTACATTGACTTTACTGGCATAGAAAGTAGCTTAAACAGTTGAAATAAATTATGAAACTTTTTAATGTTGAGGTTCTATATATAGACAATCACCAAAAAAAATTTAAAGACCTATACTCTATCTTATGACATGATTGTAGCCTTTTGAGAGTGATGATATTTTTAAAAGGAGAACAAAAAAATACCACTTACCACAACTTTTACTTTAAATTTTATACAAACTATACTGTAAAAAAGTGCATTTAAAGAGTAAGATAGTTAAAAGAAAAAGTATGTATACATGAAACTAATTAGCTTATCTCTGATTTATGTAACTCATAATACTGTCATAGTCATTATAAGCAATAGTCACAAGCACTTATACTTTTAATCAATGGAACACTTATTTGACATATTATCTTGTCAAATGGAACCCAACACTGACTTGATCGTGCATCGTTTGTCCATTTTAAATTTAATTTGTTTCTTTGCATAAACTTCACATCGACATCTTGGTTTTCATTACAAATATCAACCACAAGCCCTACGTACCATTCTTTGTCATAAAAGCATGCAATAAATTTACCGGGTTGAAAATTTGAAGGATTTTTTTAAATCAAATTAACATCATTTTACACATGAGTATCATAGACAGTATCACTAGAGATTCTTCGTAAAAACAATTTCTCTCCATCTGGTACAAAACAGTGATAGCTTCTTATTCCCGGAACTGTGCGCATCCCTTCATATCGTTTCTGAAGGTTAAAAGTTGTTTCTTGGTTATTGATATTGTCACTTGAAAGATAAAATATGTTAACACCTTTGATGTTTTTTTGAGCCCATGTAAACAGATCTTGTGGTGTGAGAATCTGATTTGTAACTGCTGCTCGTAGACTAGCTTTTGCTGCTTCTCTTTTTATAGTATCTCCTATTCCATCACATGGACTTTTGCCATGTGACGTAGCAAAGAAGTGATGCTCAGCATTTATTTGGTGATCTACAATGTGATAAATTAGGTTTATTAGACATTTGTAGTTTTAATACTATGACGCAGCACCATCACTGTAGTATTTAACTTTATTCACTGTGGGTAGTTTGATTTTGACCATAGGGAGCAACTTTGTGAGAAAACAATGGACTGCTGATTGGTCATGACAAAGATGGTCAGAAATTAAACAATAGCATTTACATTTAAGGTGATCTTTTTAATCTTTGTAATAAATAACAAATGGGTGTAAGGTAGCTTGATCAGCTTGCCAGTAAAACCCTTGTATAGCATCTTGTCCAAGAAAACTATAGTTTTCTGCAAAATCCATCAGAATAATGCAGGTATATTGGTCTAATGTTTTTTTTGCCTCTGATAAGTAGGATGATTGTGCTTCTTTGATAAAGTGGTGGTGACAAAGGTCATACAAAGTTTCACTTAAAGTTTTAATAAATTCATTAATGCTTGTTTGGACTGTAATAAGTGCAATTCGGTCAGTTGACACCCATTGTTTATATGTGATCTGATAATCAAAATCAAAATCATTCTTTTCAAACACATTTTCCAAGTAAGTCTTCAAATTTATTTTAACAAGGCAGTTGTAACATTGATGACCATGCAGTTTCGACTATATTACAAACACATACTTTCATTAAATCTTTGTAATATATTAAATGGCTGTTAGGAAGAGCAGAGCACATCAACTTAGCATTTTGATGGTAAGAACATACACAAACTGAGTGGCTTCCACTACTATTAACAGTAAGGCACCACTTTGGCCTTAGTTCACAGAACTTGCTAAATCCAACTTTGTGTTCAGGGTATAACTTCTTAAATTCCAGATGAAGTTCTTTTAAACAAACTAATATTAAGCGTTTTTGTTTATGAACTTTAACATTATTTATACGCACAGAAAGTCTTTTTTTCCTGGACATTGTCTAGTGTATTCGTCAGATTCATATATTTCAATGACTCTCTGTTTAACAATATCCTTCAAAGGATGTCTTTTTTTAGCCTCAGGTTTTTCTCCTTTATTGCATCTAAAAGTTTGTCTAAATCATTACAGTTAATGCACTTTTGCTTTTTCTCAGATATTATTTCTTTGGGTCTATATCTAATGCTGATGCTACTAGGTTTGTCATACTTGTTTCCAGTTTTTTAAAACTGGAAACAAGTATGACAGTTTCTCTGTCATTTTTTACTATTTTTTTATTTTTATTACTAATCTAAAAAGTTTAAAAAAGACATAAACATATTAAATCTCAAAGAAACTAACAAATATCAGACACTGATTATGACACTGATTATGTCATTATTATTAGTACAAAATAGGACATTATGTCATTAAAAAGAAAACTGAAGATATTCATTCACAGATTTAAAAAAATATATACTACTATCATCCCTATGACTAATTATTAGACTATGACCTAAGGCTAGCTCATAGTCTAATAACATTCTCCTTTTGAAAATATCATCACTCTCAAAAGGCTACAATTATGTCATAAGATAGAGTATAGGTCTTTAAATTTTTTTTGGTGATTGTCTATATATAGAACCTCAACATTAAAAAGTTTCATAATTTATTTCAATTGTTTAAGCTACTTTCTATGCCAGTAAAGTCAATGTAATTTATCATAATTTAAAAAAAAGGGATTTTTTAATAGGCTGCTGCATGTCCTAAATTAATTTTTAATGCATAATTTTGATTATTCTAATAAGTGGTGACCCTAAGTACAAAAAGGTAACAAAAAAAATCCACTTTCTGTAAGTAAGTATGAAACTGCAACACATTAAAGTCCAAAAATATATTTATAATGTTGCAATATTTAGCAACTTTAAGGTACAATAACTCAAAAATTGTGAAAAATCAGTCAAAAACAACTGTAATAATGGATTATTTGGGTGAAAAACTATTACCCTACAAAATTTCAGGTGATCACCATCTTTATTTAAAAAGTTATGGTTCGTCAAAAATTGAAAAAAACTGCTGTAACCTCCTGATACTCGGATTATGGTAATTTTTAATTCAACTTTTGAACAAATTAGTCAATCAAGTTGAAATTTTCTGGATTGTATTTTTTTCATAAGATCTGTGTGTGGTCAAAGTTTAAAGCAAATCTGAGATGGTACCCTGGGGAACTTTCAAAAAACTAGGTGATTTGATATGGAATAACCCTACATAAAATACTTTAAGGAAGGCATTGTATTGCATTTTTTTGCTAAACTTTTTTGAATATTATCTTTTAAGTGTACAGCGTGAATACTTGCTTTTTAAACTCAAAGTTTGTAACATGGTGACAATTATAACCAAGCAAAAGTTGAATATAAAAACTGTTAAAGTCAAATACAAAGCACTGAAGGAAGTATTAGATGGCATCTCAAAGTCAAAGGTTGCTTCAAAATATAATATACCAAAGAAAACCTTATCTACCTGGTTGAGAAACAAGGAAAAGATTTTTAATGCTGTGAGGAGAAAAAACAACCCAAAACGTCAGTGTATGAGGAAAGGGTCATTTGCAAATTTGGATCGAGTCATTTTAAATGGCTTCTGATTGTTCTTAGCAGAGATGTCACTGCTTTAATTCTCAAAACTAAAGCCATGGAATTTGCTGAAAGAATGAACGTTACAAATTTTCATGCTTCAGATTAGACTGTTGGAAGAAACGATACAACATATCATTTAAAACGGTTTCTAGTGAAGCTAATGCGTAAAAATGTAGTACCATGGGAGGAAACCACGTTACCAACCATTTTATCAAAATATAAGTTGAACCAGATTTATAATGCTGACGAATTTAGTTCATCTTATTGACTCCAACCAAATAAATCTTTACATTTTAAAAATGAAAAATGTGTCAGTGGGAAACACAGCTAACTACATTTTGCAGGATTGGCATCCACTAATGCATTAGGGAAAAAATTACTGTTTATTATTGGCAAAGCTAAATCGCCCAGATGCTATAAAAATTTAAAGCAATTTTGCCCTGCCGTTATCGAAGTCAGAAGAAAAGTTGGATAGATGGCACACTATTCGAGGAATGGGTTCATGAAATTGATCGGCAATTTATGAAAGAAGGACTAAAAATTGATTTATTAGTTGATAATTGTCCATAATCTTGAATCAATAGAACTAATCTTTTTACCATCAAACACTACCTTGAAGCTCCAGCCGATGGACCATGGCGTGATTAGGTAACTTAAAGCCCATTATTGAACACTATCTGTTCAAAAATTAATAGATACAATAGAAAAAAAAAAAGCCTCTTCCTGAATTTACTAATATGGATGCCATGCAAATGCTTGATGTTGCTTGGGAGAAGGTGAAGACCGAAACTAATTGCTTTGCTAAAGCTGTAATTTCAGAGAAAATTTGTTTTGATGCCAATAGATGTGGATGATCCCTTTGAGGATCTTAAAGACCATTTAGAAAAGCTTTCAGTTCACACATCCGAGTTGTTCCATGAAGGTACAACAGCAAAAGATGTCGTGTCCATGGATTAATTTGTCAACACTGCAGAGCTGATAATGAATGATGAGGAGATTATATCAGACATTTTAGGAGAAGAAAATTTAAAGGCTGGAAAAGATGAAGATAGTGATGTAGATTTTTTTGATCGAACCAGCTTGCCCTCAATCGGATGATGTGCGTCAAGCCCTGGAAGTACTACAAAGCTATATGATATTCAGTGACAATGGGGAGTGTATTCATAAATGTATAAATTAAATAAACTTAATTGTGGAAAAAGAATTATCAAAGAAGCTAATACAAGCGGATATACATAGCTTTATTTACTGAACTTTTTTCACACTTTTTATTACTATAATAGTGTATATTTAATGTTTATACTTTAGCATTGAATAAATAAAAATAGTTTTAACTCAAACTAATATCTTATTTCTGTCAAAGTTCGACTTGAAGGGAATTCGCTTAAGTCAAACATTCGTTAAGTTGACCATCTTCCTTGGTCCCTTGGAGGTTTGAGTTATCAGGAATTAACTGTATATATATAATTATTATAATAAATATATGTAAACGCAATTAATATAATAAATATATATAAACGTAGTAGTGGTGTAGTGGTAGAGCGATTGCTTCATAAGTGAGAGGTTCTGAGTTCGATCCCCACCATGTCCCTGGTAGTACTGTGCTCATCTTGTTTCTCCGCGCAGCAGACTTGTTCTTTAAGGTTCGTGTTTCGGAGTTATAGAGTTGAGAAATGTTTATAATTACAATTAGTAGCCTCCTCGCCTGTAGTGGGCTTCTCGGCCTTGGGGAGATGAATTTGAAAAAATATGTGTGTATATATATATATATATATATATATATATATATATATATATATATATATATATATATATATATATATATATATATATATATATATATATATATATATATATATGTGTGTGTGTGTGTGTGTATATATATATACACACATATATATATATATACACATATATATATATATATACACACATATATATTTTTACAAAAGGGATTTCTAATATTTGAAAAAGTTTGAATGAATTAAAAAGCAAAAAAAAAAAGAAAAAGAAAAAAAATTGTTACGAAAATTGATCTTGTGAAAACTTTAATTATAGAAAACATATTAGTTTAAATGCAAAAGTTGCCGTATGTAAAATTTTATGTAAAAATATATTAACTTTTTTTCAAATTAATATCAAAAAACATCTAGAAATTTCTGGAAAAATTAAAGGTGTTTTAAGTGAATTTCCGGAATTCCGAGAATTTCCGGAAAAAACTCATCTATGATACTCTTACATTAAATTTAAAAAATTATTGTTATTAGCCTTAAATTACTGCATTAAGTAATTTTATCATACTGATTTAAATAATTTAAATTATAAAATAATATTTCAAATAATCAAAATTTTCTGAAATATAAAAAATGCTTTAAAGACAACAAATATTTGCAAAAGACTGGCTATGGATATGAAAACTATGGTAACTAGTTTTCATATATGCTTTTTAGTACTCTAGTCTTGGTATAAACTATTATAAAAGAACTAGACTTGAAAATAGATAATACTGGGGGGGGGGGGGGGTTGCAGAGTGGCATTTAGCTACTTCTTTTATCTGTACTAAAAATAATTTTTTATTAAAATCCATGCTCCTATCTAAGAGCATGGATTTTAATGAAAAATTGCTTACCAGACAGGTCAAAAAATAATTTATAAAATCATTAATACAGTTCTATTATTACACAAAACTTATTGTACAATTATTTGTATAAAAACATTATTGCACAAAATTTCGCTTTATCCAAAAAAAATTAAGCAAAGTCAAATACAATTTTAAATTAAAATAGAATTTAAAAAAAAAAAACTATTTTTTTCTTTTTTTTTTTTAATTATTCACTTCCCTAAGGCCCAAGGGGGCCACTACAGTCGAGGAGGCTACTCATTTTTTTTGTTTTTTGTTTTTTGTTTTTTTTGTAAATCGTGGTACAACCCTCTCTCAACTCTTTAACTCCGAAACACGAACCTTGACAAGCAAGGTCGCTGCGCAGAGAAATTAAGTTGAGTGCAGTACTTCCAGGGACGTGGTGGGAATCGAACTTCGAACCTCTTGCTTACAAAGCGAGCGCTCTTACCACTACACCACTACCGCTTTTATTGATAAATTTAGGAAAACAGAGACTCTTCATTCCTTTTAAACTTTAGATCAACACTGTAAAAGTTAAAACAAAGACATTTTCTGATTGAAATTGTCAAAAAAATTATTTTTTGTTTAATATCATCTAAAAATAATAATCAACATAACTCTTAACCATTATAATAAAATTACATAATACAATGATGTAAGACAAATAACATTAAAAATTTTTATTAAATTTAAGAGATTTTTTATTTAATTTAACATTATAACCTTATTGATGCTATTAACATTACAATCTTAGTGATGCTATTAACATTATAATCTTAGTGATACTATTAACATTATAACCTTAGTGATGCTATTAACATCATAACCTTAGTGATGCTATTAACATTATAACCTTAGTGATGCTATTAACATTATAACCTTAGTGATGCTATTAACATTATAGCCTCAGTGATGCTATTAACATTATAACCTTAGTGATGCCATTAACATTATAACCTCAGTGATGCTATTAACATTATAATCTTAGTGATACTATTAACATTATAATTTAGTGATGCTATTAATATTACAACCTTAGTGATGCTAATAACATTACAACCTTAGTGATGCTATTAACATTATAATCTTAGTGATGCTATTAACAACAAAGTGAAATTTTGAAATATTTATATTTACTTAAGTTACACTTTTTGAATTTACTTTTGCAAATTTTTTAAAGTAAAAAAAAAAAAAAAAAAGCAAAAAAATCATATTCATGAAATTAACATACTTGATGGATCAAATTAGAAATAAACTTATCATTTCCAGATGATACACTTCTGATGTTCTTTTCTGAAATCAAACACATATATTAAACATAATCTAAAGAAATTTCAAAAATCACTATTACCTAAAGTAATATTTAAAATAATACCAAATTAAATGCATATTGTGTGCCAGTATATCAGAAATACTTATTGTATATAATATATAATAAATATTATCCATTTTATAAATAAAGATTTTTTATTTATAAAATGAACAATAGCTTCCCCTTGAAATAGTTAAACAATTACAGATTGTGAGAACTGTCAAATAAAAAAACAAGTGATATTTGCTACTCTACTCATAAGTTTAGGAAATTAACTTCATAAACCTTTGATAAAAATATTAGGCTCAAAGGTCCTAAACTTTTTTCTTCTTCCTAAACCTTTGAGTCTAATGTTTTTGGTCGTTTTTCTGAATTAAAAGATTATATTTCAAACTACTACAATGTGCAGAAGTGTGAGTTTCTTGCCAGTATACAAGCCTTCTCAGAAAAGACATACGATCGCATGCCTTATATGACCACTCATTTTATATTTTGTCTTAAAACTAGGCACCAGTCTTTTATATTTTGTCTTAAAACTAGGCCAAGGCTCCAAGTTTTGAAAGTCTGAGCACTTAAAAAAAAGTGCTGAATAAACTCAAATGTAAACTCAAATTGAAATTAAAAATAAACGAGCTATAAACTAAAAGTTGTTCTGGTGGAATAGTTCACTATTCACCAATTAAATAAGATTTTAGTTTTTTTCTTGTAAAAAGTTGTGTTATTTTGTCACAAATGATATTTGAAAGTTTTTCTAAAGTTTAGGACTTTAGTGGGATAATTCTCAATTACCAAAATAATTACTGCATTTTGTTTCCTTTAATTTTAGTGTTCTTTTTGACATTGAGTAGTGAATAAAATCGCATAATGACGTTGGTGCTTCCAGGATAATAGATTTATGCATTATTAAAAGGACCTTGAAATAGATTTTTTCTTTAACTTTCAGTCAATGCAAATTGTTAAATTTGTGGTCATTTACTTGATTCTTACTAGTGCATTATATTGAGATGAAGGAATGCCTTTAAAGTTTGATGATCATTTGAATATGCAAAAGTTTTAACATTGATTATGTTCAGATATTTGTATAGTGGTTTCAAATAAATATTAAAGAGTTTTGGACTGTGGTGCTCCATATTTTACATTTTGGTTCTTAGAACACCAATTTTAACTTTTTGGGTAAGGTTAACTAAAATTGAATTACCACTTTTAACAAATTTAAAAAACGAGTTACCAATTTTAACTTTTTAATGTTGAATTTTGTATCCATATTGATATTCTATATGAATTATAGGCCATATTGATGGTCTATAATTATTTTAGTTTTCAGAATCTGTGGCAGAGTCTAACATCTTTATTATTGGAAGTAATGTAGCACTTTTTAGACAATCCATGCTGCTTGATTCTAGTGTTAGGTTTACTATTTCAAGCTATATATGTTTAAATGTTTGTAAATTATTCCTTAGTAATTATGCTGGAATTGGATCATCAGGAGAACATTTTAACCTAAATGACATGGTTATTTTGGAATATACTTTGTATGTTGTTGGATCAAAATTTCTTGAAAACTGACCATTATTATCTGATGTGCTTTTCTTTGTTTGAAATTTTTGAAGTTCTGAGTTTTCTAATTTTTCAGTAAAATAATTATTTAAGCTGATAACTAGTTCTTCGTCTGAATTGGCTGATGGCTGATTCTTGAGTTTTATCTAGTAGCTTATTTACTAATATAAATATAGACTTTTACTTGTACTTTTTTTATTCAATAGGTTAGGTATAGTCTTTTCTTTTTTATATATAAGCAATTATTGTTGTTTTTTTTCCTGACAAGTCTACACTCTTTTTTGTCACTATTATTTTTTGTTGTCTTAATCAATTTTTCTGCTTTTCTTTGTTTTTGCTTAAGTTGCATATATTCTCCATCAAACCAAGCTTTGACTATTTTTACTCTTTTTACTTTCATAGATGTTTCTGTACAATCTCTTTAATTACTTGGTTATATACATTTATATTGTCTTTCATATTTTGAGCTGATGATATTTCTGGTTTATTTCTTAATATTTTATTGTTGAAGACATTTCCACTGTTTTTAAATTCCTGTATGTGATAGTATAACTTTTTTTCTATTTTTTGTTCTACTTTAAAATCAATAAGAAAATGGTCATGTTAGGTCTGCTACAGCTAGCATAATTACTGATATTTCATCCAGCTTATTATCTACTACATCTAATAGGTGTCCTTTTTTATAAATTGGTTCTTTGACTTGTTGTGTAAGATTTAGTACATCTAGTATTTAGTTCTTTAGTATCTTAGTGTATATTTATATCACCAGCTATAACGTAAGTGCAACCTGCATGCGGTAGTGGTGTAGTGGTAGGGTGCTCGCCTCATAAGCAAGAAGTTGAGAGCTTGATTCCCAACACATTCCTGGTGGGAATCAAACCCTGCCTCCTCAACTAGAGTGGCCTTCTCAACCTTAAGGAGATAAATAATTAAAGGAAAGAAAAAAAAACCTGTTGATACTACTGAGTGAGAGACAAATATTAGTCAATAAATGAAAATTAAAATTACTAACTGTTTGGCTACAGTAACTTTAACAAATATTTTCAAAGGAGTGAAATTATCCATAATTTTTTTAAACATATCCATAGTTTTTTATCATTGCTGTTGTATTATTGTTTTCAGAAGTCATTAATGTTTCTAAAACTAATATAAACTGTCTGGATTCCGGTCAAGTATATGCCCAAATATATTCAGAGGTTTATTAGTAAGAAAGCAAACATTCCATATAAAAATTTGGAGACCTGCATGGATTATAAAATTTATGATTTATAATAAAAGCATAACATATAATTTATGAAGGTTTTATCATCCTTCTGGACTTAACATTTAAATGAACAATTTCAAATTTTTTCTTTAAAGATAATTTTTTCTCTCTTAAGTGAAGGACTACTATGAGAAATTTGAGTATTTGAGTTCAAGAAGTTTTTTTACATTATCATTTGTTAAGTTTGTTTCTCTTCTTAGTTAATGGTTTGTTTATTTTTAATATTTTCTTTTAAATTAATTTAGTTTTTTCAGTGCATTTTTTAAATAGGCAATAATCAAAATAAGCAAAAAGGCGTCATTAAAGGCGTACAACTGCATACCTTTTCACTTGGTATAAACCATGTGATTTTGGCTTGGTATAAACCATATTAGTTTGATAGATCTGGCATATGTTCAAAAAACATCAGATCTTGTGCAAGACTTATTAAAATTGGAACCAACTTCAGTCTTTATAAGTAAATTTTATTTTATTTCATTTTCTGTATTTCTTCAGCATAAGTGCTCAATGAATGATATCAGAGCTGTATATGTTTGTTTGACAAGATAAAGTAAAAAATAACTACATGTTTACTACTAAAACTTTCATGCATTAGCAATCATCAGGTAAAACTAAATTATATTTTTTTATTAAAAAAAAAGTATTCTTATTATATAATAAACATGAACAAAAAGGGTCATCTATAAATGATGTCACACTCTAGGGTGGAGGGGAAAGTTAGTGGTTTTGTCACATATTGTACAACACTTGTTACTATAGAGTTACAATTAGTTACAATAACAACTTTATAACTGTTTTTGTTTGTTTTTATTATTTTTTTAACAAGAAAACACAATGTAATTTTACCTGATGAAACTTTCAGTAGAAAACATTATGTAGTTATTTTATCATTAAAAAAACTCTGCTCCTAACCATGAAAAGTCTGAAAAGCTCCTACCCACTAAAAGTGTTCTATATAATAAAATAAAAGCTTGCTCCTACCCACTAAAAGTGTTCTATATAATAAAATAAAAGCTTGCTCCTACCCACTAAAAGTGTTCTATATAATAAAATAAAAGCTTGCTCCTACCCACTAAAAGTGTTCTATATAATAAAATAAAAGCTTGCTCCTACCCACTAAAAGTGTTCTATATAATAAAATAAAAGCTTGCTCCTACCCACTAAAAGTGTTCTATATAATAAAATAAAAGCTTGCTCCTACCTACTAAAAGTGTTCTATATAATAAAATAAAAGCTTGCTCCTACCCACTAAAAGTGTTCTATATAATAAAATAAAAGCTTGCTCCTATCCACTAAAAGTGTTCTATATAATAAAATAAAAGCTTGCTCCTACCTACTAAAAGTGTTCTATATAATAAAATAAAAGCTTGCTCCTACCCACTAAAAGTGTTCTATATAATAAAATAAAAGCTTGCTCCTACCCACTAAAAGTGTTCTATATAATAAAATAAAAGCTTGCTCCTACCCACTAAAAGTGTTCTATATAATAAAATAAAAGCTTGCTCCTACCTACTAAAAGTGTTCTATATAATAAAATAAAAGCTTGCTCCTACCCACTAAAAGTGTTCTATATAATAAAATAAAAGCTTGCTCCTACCTACTAAAAGTGTTCTATATAATAAAATAAAAGCTTGCTCCTACCCACTAAAAGTGTTCTATATAATAAAATAAAAGCTTGCTCCTATCCACTAAAAGTGTTCTATATAATAAAATAAAAGCTTGCTCCTACCTACTAAAAGTGTTCTATATAATAAAATAAAAGCTTGCTCCTACCCACTAAAAGTGTTCTATATAATAAAATAAAAGCTTGCTCCTACCCACTAAAAGTGTTCTATATAATAAAATAAAAGCTTGCTCCTACCCACTAAAAGTGTTCTATATAATAAAATAAAAGCTTGCTCCTACCCACTAAAAGTGTTCTATATAATAAAATAAAAGCTTGCTCCTACCCACTAAAAGTGTTCTATATAATAAAATAAAAGCTTGCTCCTACCTACTAAAAGTGTTCTATATAATAAAATAAAAGCTTGCTCCTACCCACTAAAAGTGTTCTATATAATAAAATAAAAGCTTGCTCCTATCCACTAAAAGTGTTCTATATAATAAAATAAAAGCTTGCTCCTACCTACTAAAAGTGTTCTATATAATAAAATAAAAGCT